TCAAATTTTCTATTCAACTCTGGTCTTTTCATCAAGAATGCTTGAAAGTCCTCTATTTCACTGAATGACCATTTTTTCCCCTGCAGGATTATACTCAGTTTTGCTGGGTAGGTGATTCTTGGTTATAATCCTATCTCCTTTGCTCTCTGGAATATTATATTCCATGCCCTGTGGTCCCTTAATGTAGAAGCAGCTAAATCTTGTATTATCCTGATTGTGTTTCCACAATACTTGAATTGTTTCTTTCTGGCTGCTTGTAATATTTTCTCCTTGACCTGGGAACTCTGGAATTTGGCTACAATATTCCTAGGAGTTTTCCTTTGGGGATCTCTTTCAGGAGGAGATTGGTGGATTCTTTCAATTTCTATTTTGCCCTCTGGTTCTAAAATATCAGGACAGTTTCCCTTGATAATTTCTTGAAAGATGATGTCTAGGCTCTTTTTTTTGATCATGGCTTTCAAATAGTACAATAATTTTTAAATTCTCTCTCCTGGATCTATTTTCCAGGTCAGTTGTTTTTCCAATGAGATATTTCACATTGTTTTCTAATTTTTCATTCTTTTGGATTTGCTTTACAGTGTCTTGATTTCTCATAAAGTCACTAGCTTCCAATTGCTCTATTCTAATTTTTAAGGAAATATTTTCTTCAGTAATCTTTTGGACTTCCTTTTCTATTTGTCCAATTTTGCTCTTTAGGGTATTCTTCTCTTCATTGGCTTTTTGGACCTCTTTTGCCATTTGGGTTAGGCTATTTTTTAAGGTATTATTTTCTTCAGTATTTTTTTGGGTCTCCTTTAGCAAGCCGTTGACTTGTTTTTCATGATTTTCTTGCATCACTCTCAGTTTTTCCTCTGCTTTTCTTACTTGCTTCTCAAAATCCCCTTTGAGCTCTTCCAAGGCCTGGGACTGATTCATATTCTTCTTGGAGGCTTTGGATGTAGGAGCTTTGGCTTTGCTGTCTTCTTCTGGTTGTATGTTTTGATCTTCTTTGTCACCAAAGTAAGATAATATAGTCTGACTTTTTTTGCGCTGCTTACTCATGATCCCAGCCAATTACTTGAGTTTTAAACTCTTTGTTAAGGTAAAAGTCTGCTTCCAATGTGAAGAGTGTACTGTCCCAACCTTTGGGGGTTTGTACAGCTGTTTTCAGAGGTACTTCTAGGGACCTGTAAATTTTCAGTTCTTCCAAGGTGGTATGATAAGGGGCGAGGTGTTTTCTCTCCACCACCACAACAAGCTCCACCACACCAGCGTTCCTCCTCTCCCCAGGACCGCCCCTCAGAATTGTGACCCAGATCCAAGCAGCAGTAAAGCAAGAGATTCCTGCCTCAGCACTGGCAAAGAGATCCCTGCAATCCCCTTTTCATCAGCCACTTGATTCCCCCTCAGTCTGTGGGCTGGAAGCTCAGGAAAAAGCCGCAGCCCCGGGCTGTGCTTGGGACTTCCGACTGAGACCTAGCTCCTCTCTCACCGCAGTTACAGACTTTTCCCACTGACCTAAGTTGTCTTTGGTGTTCAGGGGTTGAGAAGTCTGGAAACCACCACAGCTGCCTGTGATTCAGTCCTCTGAGGCCTGCTCCAGGGTCGCTGCAGCCTTCGCACCCACGTCGAACTGCGCTCCTCTCCCCGCCCGGCACGATATACCTTTCTGATCAAACCATACAGGCTGTCTTTAGCTGGAAATTTGTTTCACTCTGTCTTTTTGTGGGTTCTGCTACTTTAGAATTTGTTTAGAGCCATTTTTTTAGGTATTTAGAGGGCTTTGGGAGACAGCTCAAGACAGTCACTGCTTTCCCTCCACCATCTGGTTCATGATTTAGATATAAAGGCTGATACTATAAGCAAACTGGGAGAGCAAGGAATAGTTTACCTATCAGATCTATGGAGAACAGAAGAATTCATGACCAAACAGGAGATAGAGAACATTATGAAAAGCAAAATGGATAATTTTGATTACGTTAAATTGAAAAGTTTTTGCACAAACAAAGCCAATGCAACTAAGATTAGAAGGAAGGTAGAAAATTGGGAAAGAATTTTTACAACCAGTGTCTCTGATAAGGGCCTCATTTCTAAATATATAGAGAATTAAGTCAAATTTATAAGAATACAAGACATTCCTCAATTGATAAATGGTCAAAGGATATGAACAGGCAGTTCTCAGATGAAGAAATTAAAGCCATCTATAGTCCTATGAAAAAATGCTCTAAATCACTATTGATTAGAGAAATGCAAATCAAGACAACTCTGAGGTACCATATCACACCTATCAGATTGGCCAACATGACAAAACAGGAAAATGATAAATGTTGGAGAACATGTGGGAAAATTGGAACACTAATGCATTGTTGGTGGAGTTGTGAAATGATCCAACCATTTTGGAGAGCAATTTGGAACTGTGCCCAAAGGGCTATAAAAATGTGCATACCCTTTGACCCAGCAATAGCACTTCTAGGGCTATATCCCAAAGAGATCATACAAATGGGAAAAGGACCCACATGTACAAAAATATTCATAGCAGCTCTTTTTGTGGTGGCCAAGAATTGGAAATTGAGAGGATGCCCATCCATTGGGGAATGGCTGAGCAAGTTGTGGTATATGAATGTAATGGAATACTATTGTGTTATAAGAAATGATGAGCAGGCAGACTTCAGAAAAACCTGGAAAGACTTGTATGGTCTGATGCTGAGTGAAGTAAGTAGAACCAAGAGAGTGTTGTACACAATAACAGCCATGTTGTTCAATGACTAATATTGATAAACTTAACCCTTCCTGGCAATACAAGGATCTAAGACATCTCCAGAGGCCTTGTGATGGAAAGTGCTATCCACATCCAAAGAAAGAACTATGGGAGTTGAATTGCTAATTTTTTTCCTCTTCTGTTGAGTTTTGTTTCCTGTTTCTGATGGTTCCTCCTATGGGTTTTAATTTTTACTTACAACATCACTAATGTGAAAATATGTTTAATATGAATGTAAATGTATAGCCTATATCAGATTGTGTGCCGTGTTGGGGAGGGTGGTGGGGAGGAAGGGGGAGAAAAATTTTAAACTCAAAAGCATGTGGAAGTGATTATTGATAAATCAAAATAAATTAATATAAAAATAAAAAAAATTTAAAACATGCCCTTATCATGCTTGCCCTTAGATAGAGGGAGCTCCATTTTCTATTCTCATCTTGGGCTCACAAGTAACTAGTTACAGTGCTAAGGAGAAGAGGACCCTGCTGTCTGCTTCTCCAATTTCCTCCCAATAGTCTGTGGGCCAACTCAGCTCCTTCCCCAAAGCCCATGGGCTCATTTTGGATACACAGTGGCAGCTCTACCATTGACTTGCTCTGTGGCCTTGCACAAGGTCCTTCCCCTCTCTGAGTCTGGTTGCCTTCTCTTGAACTCACCTCTAAGGTAATTTTCATCTCTAATATTCCATGAGTAGCTTAAAGGTAACCACAACACCAAGGCCAGGTGGTGAACACTGGGCCCCAACCCTGCAAGGTCAGTTGGTTAGAGGGTGGGAAAGCTGAAGAGAAGGCCTGCTGGGTGGTGACATCATCTCCCCTACAGGCAGGTGGCTCAGCTGAGCTGGTAGCTGTCTGGTATCTCTGACTGGTGACCATATGTGGTACCCCCAGCAGGAACACATGCAACAGGGGGCCTGGGGATAGTATGTAGAGAAATTAGGGCTAAACTGACTACCTACTACCTACTATCACTTCCCTACTCAGAAACCCTCAGCAATTGACTCTCTATTGTCAACATGCCTGGCATTTCAGGCCCTTCACAAGCTCTTGTCCCACCTTGTCTCCTATACAAACTTATCTCTTTATTGTCCCACAAGCTATGTGCCCTTCTAAGCCTTTGCCTTTGCCATTCCCCCCACCTAGGTTGCCCTCCTTCATCCTCTTCTTGTTTTAAGTCTGGCCCTTCCAGCAAAGGCCCAAGTCAAGGCCCATGGTCTCCAGAGTCTTCTCAGATTTCCCTAGACCATAGGCCTAGCTTAGTTTCCTCTGTCTTCCCCTGAGACTTCCTGTTTCCCCAAATGTTCTGAGGGCAGAAGCCATGCTTTATATGTGCCAGTGTGTCCCCATCAGGATACTTCTCCAATTTCCTCCCAACATGTTCCAACATGGCAACCCCCTCTGCACATACATACACACACACACACACACACACTCACATAGACGTGCACACATGTGTTCATGCATATGGAGATGCCTTGATGCTTAGGGAATGCTTGATGATGATGATGGAATCACCTGGGCCTGCTTGGTGGCTGAGGGCATCCTGGGAGGTCTTCTTCTTCTGCTCATAGTTCCCAAGGTAGACTCCAAGTAGGCCTTAAGCTGCCAAGCAATGGTTTCTCTCTCACCCCCATTTCCCTGCCCCTCTAGGGCTTGGGGGGAGAGGGGAAAGCACGGCTCCCTAACAAAGATCTAGATAGCACATCCAGGTGCCCAGGATGTCACACACACACACACACACACACACCCACCCACCCACACACACACACACACACACACACACACACACACACACCCCAGAAGAGACATTCCTGGACAGATACAAACACGGCCTCCGTGCTTGCTTGTAGAGGCAGCTAGCCAACATCCACATACATGCAGAGAAATGAGTGTTCTGGTGTGAGTGTGGGCAGCGGCCCAGCCTCAGGGACTCCTTTCAGGAGCAGTCTCCATGAACTATGCCTTCCTCTCTTCTACCCCAGCACTTCCTGGATCCTACCTCTGGCCCAGCCCCTCCCAGATGTCTTTCTCCATAGCTCAAGGTGAAGATAGAAGCTGTCACAATCCCCAGTGGGGTTACACCATGACAGGCAATGCTGAACTGGGTAAAAGAGCAGGTGGGAGGCAGGAACTTGGGGTGGCTGTGAATAAATCTATGCATATGTGCATGTGCGTGTGCCTGTGAGTCTGGGAGAGCCAAGACAGGGAGAGGAGACCTGTGGCTCCAGCTGGGGAGTAATCGGCACTGGATAGCCCTGGGCACCATGGGCTCCATCTCCAAAAAGGACCTGAAGACAGCATTGGAGGTCTTTGCCGTCTTCCAGTGGGCTCTGAGTGCCTTACTCATGGGTGAGTCCAGTGTAGGGCAGGGGCCGTGGCTCCCACTGTAGGTATGCATGCATGTATGGATGGAAGGATGTATGGATGTATATGTTTGTAGTGTGCTCTTGTCGGGGGGGGCATCCCTCAGGCAGGGCCAGTGGCTCACACCATGTAAGTACATGTTAGATCTATGGGGATGCCCATGTGTAGGGAGGTGGAGGTATGGGCAGTGGGGGTTCCTTTGGCAAAGACACCAACCAGTTACTGCCCAGCTCCATTGCAGTGGCCAGCAGCCAGGCCTGGAGGAGTAACCTGGGCCCGGCCCTGCAGAGAAACTTTGGAAGTTCCTGTTCCTCAGGACTTTACAAAGAGGAAGGCTTTCTCCCTGTTGAGGCCATTTAGGTGAGTGCTCCATGAGGAAGGGGTGTGCATTAGGTGGCTTGGTGAAAGCTTCTGAGATGGAGAGGCAGTGGGTAGGGCAGTGCACTTAGGGTTAGGAAGACCTGGGTTCAAATCCCACCTCAGACCCTTACTGGCTGAGTAACCTTGTGTGTAGTATTTCTCATACTTGATGGTCTAGCCATGTGGGCCTTCTCTCTGCCTCTATATACTATCAGTCACCAAGCATTTATTAAATGCTTACTCTGCACCAGATTTTGATAAGCGCCAGAGATCTCCCATCTCCCTGCCTTTGCCTGGTCTGTTCTACCCATGCTTCCCACCCCCCCGCCCCCAGTCTGGAGCATATTGTGGAGGATAGTAAATGCCAGGCTAAAGAACAGTATTTTATTCTGGAAGTAATAGGGAACCACTGAATGTTTTTGAACAGGGGAGTAATGAGGTCAGATGAGAACCAACTGTGGCATTGTCCGACTTTCTATTGGTACAGTCCAGGAGCTTTGGAGTCAAGGCCAAGGATTAGGCTGTCATTGTGCCCTTGGCCAAGTCTTTCCCTCTTCTTCGGCCTGGGTTCCTCTGCTGTAAAATGAGGAGCTTGACTTGGGTGATCTCTGAGTGGCCACTAAGCTCTAAGCCCTGTGATCTGCTAGCTTGTCTTTGCTGGGCTGACCTTCATTTCCTCAGTCTTCTGCATGGGTTGTGGCATCTCCCTCTAGAATTGGAATCTCCCATCTTCCTCTCCTCCCAGGTTTCCATATCCTTTTTGGCTATTGATCATTGAAGTGGCTCCAGGCTCTGATCAGGATATGGCTAGGGTTGGGTTCAATGAGGAAGGGAATAAGAACTAACATAAGGCCTACTGTGTGCCTGGCACTGTGCTAAGTGCTTATAATTATGATCTCATTTGATCCTCACAACGACCCTGGGAGGTAGGGGCTCTTATCCCCATTTTATAGTTGAGGAAACTGAGGTCAGCAGAGGATAAGTGACTTGTCCAGGGTTACCCAGCTAGGCTGGATTTGAACTCAGGTTTTTCTGACTGCAGGCCCAGTGCTTTCCTAGCTCTTTGGGAGGCCAAACTCCCAGACCCCATACCAAGTTTCACTAGGTATGTTCTAAATGTTGGGGTTGCTTTACTAACCATATTTTTTTCTGGCTAGGTCCTATCTGACACTTGGCCACTCAGACTCTGAGATCTTCCTCTGTTTCTTACCTTCTGTCTGACTTGTCCCTATGCTGCTACATTATATCACTTTGAATCCCAAGCTCTTTGATTCTGGCCCAAACTGAATGAGCCTGTGCTCTAGGCCTTCAGCCCACTTACCCAAATGGGAAAGCTACCCCTGAGGCTTGAGCTGGCCCCTGAAACTATTCCCACACAGAGTACCTCTGTCAGTACCCGCTGCTGAGTCACTAGCCTGGCAGAAGCCCCCTTGCTGCCCTCCAGCTGCCAGGTGGGTCCTTTGTGCCGTCAGAAGCTATCAGATGACTTTGACGGGTTTTCTGCTTTTTTAAATTAATTAATTTATTTTTAGTTTTCAACATTCACTTCCATAAGCTTTTGAGTTTTAAATTTTCTCCCTCTCGCTCCCCTCCCCTCTCCCCAAGATGATGTGCAATCTGATACATATACATTCTCTACATATCTCTACATATATATATATATTCATATTAAACCTATTTTCACATTAGTCATGTTGTAAAGAAGAATTAGGATCAATGGGAAGAATCACAAAAAAGAAGAAACAAAAGAAAACAGAAGGAAAAAAAAAGAGCAAATAGTCTGCTTCCACCTGCATTCCAACTCCATAGTTCTTTCTCTGGATGTGGATAGCATTTTCCATCATGAGTTTTTTTTGTTTGTTTGTTTTTGGTTTTTTTGTTTGCTTAGGCAATGGGGTTAAGTGACTTGCCCAGGGTCACATAGCTAGTAAGTGTTATGTGTCTGAGGCTGGATTTGAACTCAGGTCCTCCTGAAACTAGGGCTGGTGCTCCATCCACTGCACCACCTAGCTGCCCTGCAGTTCTTTTGAGAACTGTTTGTTCATATAGTTTGACCACTTATCTATTGGAGAATGACTTACTTACACACACGCCCACACACACACACACTCACACACAAAATACCACACAAAAAAACCAGAAAAAAACCACAAAAAAACACAAAAAAATCAAAAACTCACACACAAAAGAACTGCTACAGAGACTGGGATAGGGAGTTCATTAGGGAGGTGCGAGGCCCCAGTTGAGATTAGGCAATACACATTTGTAACGGACCCAGTCAGCCTAGTTTGAGGATTTTTTTTCTAGCTTTGTTCAGCAGCATGTGAGTAAAAGCAAAGACAGCCAATAATGGGAGTGATCCAAGGTTGAGGCTTGGCAGGGCAAGACAGGTGAAAAAAAGAGATCAAGAGACTTGAGAAGAGGACAGTGTAGAATTGAGCTGATTCCCCAATGGGTCAAGATGGGGAAAAGAAGAGACTAGAGCCAGTGCTGGGGTGATGATCTGAGAAAGAGGGAAGAGGCGGAGGTGCTGGAGGTCTCGGTGAACATGAAGAACAAGGTTAGGGGTTGTGGTGGGGTGCAGTGGGGGTGTCGTGATCAGACCTCTATTTTAGGAATATCCCTGTAGTGCCTGAATGGAGGATGGACTGGAGTGGGGGGGAGACTTGAGGCAGGCAGCCCCCTGGCAGCTATGGCAATAGCCGGGGCATAAGGTGATGAGGCCCTGCAGAGGGGGGTGGCGGCGTCAGAGGAGAGAAGGGGGCATATTGGAGAAATGTTACACAGGTGAAGTTGACAGGCCTTGCCAGCAGCTTGTATTATGGAGCTGAGCCAGAACGAGGAGTCCAGGAAAACTCTTTGGTTGCAAGCCTGGGGGACTGGGAGAAAGGTGCTGCTTGCTGTGGTAACAGCAAATGTAAGGGAAAGAGGGTTTAGGAGAAAGATGAGTTCCCTTTTGGACATATTGAGTCTCAGCTGTCTACTGGACCTCCAGTTTGAGGTGTGTGAAAGGCAGTTGGAGATGCAAGGTTGGCAGTCAGGAGAGAGATGGGGGCAGGAAAGGTAGAATTGAGAATCGTCAGAATAAATATGGTAATTCAGGTCATGGGCATTGATGAGATCACCAAGTGAAGTAGAGAATGGAATTTCAAAGAAAGATTCCCTCTTGGTCTGGACCTGTGATTTTCTCAGCACAGGATACTCTCGGCACCAATGCAGATCAGTAACTGTTCTGTAGTTTATAAAGGCAGAATCGAGATTCAGATTTGGACATTCTCTGCAGAGAGATGATAATGGCCCTTGAGGGAGGTCATTGGATGGTTAAAGGAGAGAGGGTAGAGAAAGAGGAGAGGGCCCTTGAGGGACAGCCACTCTTGGGCAGAAGATGGATTCTGATCCCCTCCCCCCCTTGAAGAAAGTAAAAAGGTCAGGTAGACATATAAGAGAAACAGGAGAGAGCAGAGTCCAGGAAGTCAGTGGAGGGAAGAGGCTTCAGGAGGAGGGAACAGTGAGCAGAGTCCGAAGTAAGTATCCAAGTAAGATGAAGCCTTAGAAAAAGCCATCAGATTTAGTAATTAAGAGCTTGCTGGCGACCTTGGAAAGAATAGTTTTTGTAAAGTGCTGGGCTTAGAAGCCAGACTGTGAGGGGCTGGAGAGTGAGTGGGTGGTGAATGTGGTGAATTAGAGAAGGCAGGAAGAGCTTGAGGGCCTGACGGGACCAAGGAAATGTTTTTTAAGAATGGTGTGACTGGGGGCAGCTAGGTGGCGCAGTGGATAGAGCACCGGCCCTGAAGTCAGGAGGACCTGAGTTCAAATCCGACCTCAGACCAAACACTTGACACTTACTAGCTGTGTGATCCTGGGCAAGTCACTTAATCCCAATTGCCTAAAAATTAAAAAAAAAAATTAGACTGGTGTGCATGTCAGCATCCCTGGAAAGAGCAGAGATGAGGGAGCAAGAGGGAATGAGTGATGGGAAGAGCTTCCAGAGAAGATGAGAGGGGATGGGACCATGGTGCCAAGTAGACAGGTTAGCCCTTGGTGAGCAGAAGGGTTCTGGTATCGTTTGAAACTGGAACAATTGGGGAGAAGATGAGTGAACCGTAGAAGGCTTTGTAACGTGCAAAGAGAGGGGAGGGGGCTAATTGCTGATGGCCTCGATTTTTCTCAGTAAAGTGAGAGGTGAGGTTATCTGGGGAGAAAGGGGTAGGTAGGGGTGGAGTTGAGGGTTCAGGAGAGGGGGAGGCTAGAATAGTGGCTGGGAGAATTGTTGAGGAATCAAGCAGAGATGTTTGTTTGTAATGGATCGCCATGCAGAAATGAGGGCTTAGCTGAAGTTAGATAATAAGAATTTGCAGTGGACCCAGTCAAAATGGTTTTGTGACTTCTCTGGAATAGGAGCGTAGCAGGGGGATGAGGAATAGTGACCTGAGGTGGAGCTTAATAAATGCTTATTGACTGATTAGCAGGGAATGAATAGCTGAAGGATAAGGGCTCAGAGAATTCAAAGATAAAGGAGAGTCCCTTTTTGCCCATTCAGTTTTATTCCATTTTCAGTTGCAAATTCTCTCCCTCTGCCCCCTCTCCCTCACCCGTTGTGAAGGCAAAAAATAGAAAACCTATTACAAATGTGAAGTCATACCGAACAGTTTTCCATGTTATCCATATTTTTAAAAAAAGCCAGAAAAAGAAAGAACAAGGAAAAAAGAAAGAAAGAACAGAAAATATGCTTCAGTCTGCCCTCTGAGTCCATCAGCTGGAGGTGGATAAGCTTTTTTTTTGTCATGAGTCCTTTGGAACTGTGACTGGTCAATGTGGTGATCTGAGTTCCTAAGTCTTTCACAGTTGATAATCTTGACAATTCTGTTGCTATTGTAGAACTTGTTCTGGTTCAGCTCAATTCACTTTGCATCAGTTCATACAAGTCTTCCCAGGTTTTTCTGAACCCATCCCCTTCTTACAGCACAATAGTATTCCATTATATTCATACACTAGAACTTGTTAAACCATTTCCCAATTGATTGGCATTCCCTTCCTTTCCAGTTCTTTGCTATTATACAAAGAGCTGCTCTAAATCTTTTCATACATATGTGTCCTTTTCCTCTTTCCTTGATCTCTTTGGGGCATAAGGTAGTACTGTTGCTGGGTCAAAGGGTATGCATAATTTAGTACCTTTGGGGCAAAGTACCAAAGTGCTTTCCAAGATGTTTAGATGAGTTCTCAGTCCACCAATAGTGCATTAGCATACCTGTTTTCCCACAGCCCCTCTAGCATTTGTCATTTTCCTTTTCTGTCATCTTAGCCAAGCTGATGGGTATGAGGTGATATCTCAAAGTTGTTTTAATTTGCATTCCTCTAATTATTAGTGATCTAGAGCATTTTCCCATAGGACTATAGGAGGGTACCTTGTTGAACTTGTCAATGCTAGGATTTGTCAAGGCTGGGAAAGAAGGAAAGTGAGTCTAGGCCAGGCATGATGACCTGGGAGGAAATGGCGGCGGGGGGGGGGGTGTTTCCTGCTGCCTTCCCCTCTCCACTCTGTTCTCCACAAGTGCCAAAATAATCTTAAAGTTCAGGTCTTACCATGTTCCTACCGTGCTCAGCAGGTTTCAGTGACTCCCTATTACATTTAGGACAAAGGACCAAACTCTTCTGTTTGTGTTTAAGGCTCCTCCCAATCTGGCTATAGCCTCCCTTTGTGGCTTTCTTATAGGTGACTCCCCAGCCTGCCGTGCATGCAGCCTGTGTCATTGCAGGCAGTCTGGCCTTATTGGTGCTCCCTGAACTTCCTTTTACAGGCCCTGAAGGCGCTTCTGCTCGGGAGCATCCTGAGCACAGGGGCCCCTTGGGTTAGGAAACTTTCCCCGACCCACCTGGGGCCATACTTCCTCTCAGCCAAGCTCTTGTCCTGTGAGGACTGGGCTAGGTATTTGTTTTCCTCTTGGCATCTCCAGCTCCTAGCACGGGGCCTTAAACCTAGTGGAGACATCGTAACTGGTGTTTGAATTGGACCAATTGATTGAGGGATGAGAAGAGGGCTGGAGGCCAAAGGGCAGGTGGAAGAACAGGGAGGCAGGGACTCCCACACACCTCTGAACTCTGTCTGGAACGTGAGAATCCTGATGTTTCCGGAGCTTGGGGAGTCTTGGGGGGGGGTGGCCCTTCCCTCAGTCAGGGACTTTTCCAGTTTCCCTTCCCTTTCCCCACCATCAGCAAACCAGGTCTTTTCTCAGCCCGTAGGTGTCCCCAACAATTTGCCTGCTTTTAGCTCTTTCTCCTGTTACCTTTCCCCAAATACTGCTTGCAATGTCCTAGGGGGAGAGGGTGAGGGCCTCACCTCCTCCCGGGGGCTTCCCTGGAGGTGGGTCTGTTAAGTCACAAAGGAATTGGTGCTGTGAAAGGAGAAGGCCAGGGAGCAGAAGACCCAGATCTTGTCTTCACCCTCAGCCTCCAAGGATGGAGGGGGAAGAGGACTGGGGAATTGTCGGGCCGATGTATCGGAGGATGAATATGCACCTTGGAGTAGGTCTGGGTGAGCAAGACCCTGGATTAGCTGGGGTGGGAGGAACTGTTTTGGAGGCAGAAAAATGGGGTTCGAATCTTGAATTTTGGCTACCCACTAGCTTGGATAGGCTACTGCATTCCTCCGGGCCACAATTTCCACAAACACATTCTCTGTTCTAAAGTCCCTTCCCAGTTCTGACATTATGGTTTAAGGTTCCCCACTCCCTCTCCTCAGCTCTGCCATTATGTGTTCTAAGGTTCCCCAC